CACTTTCAACTACGTCACCAGTAGACTGCGTCGTATCAATAGTTCTTAATTGATCGTTAGATTTTTCAACTTTTCTTTCCATTATCACGTAATACGAGGGCTTCTAACTTCCCTACTGCGTCTTCCGTTTTAAGCGGTTATTTTCGTCCGTCGGTTGATGTTTCTGAAACTGATAAAAATTATGTCATAGAAGCCGAGGTTCCTGGCATGAAAAAAGATGATCTTTCAGTTGAATTTGTTGATAATACTTTGACTTTAAAAGGAAAAGTTGAAAAATCTAACGATCAATTAAGAACTATTGATACGACGCAGTCTACTGGTGACGTAGTTGAAAGTGGTCGAGAAGGTACATCCGTCGCAGAGCCTACTTATTGGACTAACGAAAGAATTTTAGGAAGTTTTCAACGTTCTTTTACACTTCCTAATAATGCTGATAAGGAAAATGTTAAAGCGCAATATAAAGATGGAATTTTGTCTATTATCGTTCCTAAGGTCGAACGTCAAAGTCAAAAGATTACCATTGAATAATATTATATTCTATATATATAATAGGTTATATCTTTTGTTCACATTTATAACTGATATAACTATTATAACATTATGTAAATGTTAATTGTAAGAATTCTCATAGTTAATAATAAAAAAACATCTTTGTGTCAATAATCTACAATTGTGTTTCATTTTAATACGTACGTACGTACGTATGTACGTGTATAATATATATATATATATATATTATTAATTACCGCTTGAATTTAATAAATTTTGTAATCCGCAGTGTTCGGCTTAATAACAGGTAGTTAGTAAAGTAGTACGGTACGGTAGTGCAAATATGGACGTACGTACGAAATTTGGGTAAAATTTTGATAGTACGTACGTTAAAAAAAAAAAAAAAAATTTCGTACTAGTACGTACGAATTTCTTTTATATTTTAGTACTTTCGAAGTCTTTTTAATAAATATCTTTAAGTTTAAAATCCGGACTCAATTCCTGAAAACATGCATAATTGGGTCATTGAATTATAACTTTACAAGTTCGGTTCCTGATTTACACCCGACATTAATTCCATATTATTATTCGAACGTTCAAAAAAATTTTTCAAAAATAAGATAAAACATGAAATTTTAAGTTATAATCAGCATTTATTTAATTGCAAGCAAATACAAATTTTTATT